CATTTAATAAAGTAAGAAAAACATTTTTTCTGTAGTTAGCAGACTATTTCATATTGCGCGCTAAATATGTATGAAGCTAACTACACAAAAAAGTCATATTTGCCAAAAATGTCAGATAGCAGCTATTGTCATAACGTCGACGATATTGAATACTAGGTCCAGGAAGATTCATATATTCCTCTGAACTTTCAAGTTTTGCAGTACTAGGTGAAGGACGATTTACATACTCCTCTGTCGTTGTGTCAGTTTGGCTAGTTTCAAAAATGTCTGGATATAAAGACTTTAAAACATTCAAAGCAGCATCTGAATCTGAAATGCAGTCTAAACTCTATAATCAAACTAGTCTTTTTGTAAAATTATTATCAAAGACAATGACTGAAAACATAATTGGTAAGGTTCTCATCTAATACAAAATCCTAAATAGAACTTAATTCAAAAGAAATAAAAATGTACACTTACCATTTAAAATTAGATTAGCGGCTTCTATGCTATTTACAGTCACGTTGTAATCTCGTCCTTCAAAGTTTATTGAAAGTTGAAATTGGTCGTTTTCCATAATGTAATTTTTTATTTTTCTATAACCAAGTATAAAAATATGCACTTTATAGCACGTGTAGTTATAATATAACATAAAGGTATTTTTCGCGGCATAAACCAACATAAACGTTTATGATAGATTATGTTATTTACAGATGTCTGATTGGCTAAATAACATAATCCATGATAAACGTTTATGTTGGTTTATGCGCCGCGAAAAATACCTTATAAACACCATAAATAAACATATATGACAAATGACATTTAGATAACAGCTCTTGAGGATGATATGTACCTGTTACAAGTATGACGTAGCGAAGGGCTTATTTATGACGACACTTCCAATAAACCAGCAATGACCGAAGTCGCTTTAACTGTAAAGTACCGGTCTTTTTTGATTATCTTTGGTAACTCGCTTTAAATTGGCTATTGACTTTTTGAACTTGGTACACAACAAGTGCATTTGTTTTTGACACCACTAACCATTTGTTTGTTTCGAAATCAAATAAATCTTACTCTATTCTATAGACAAACTTTTTTTACGACTATTTCTGATTTCAAGAACTTTTAATATTAATTTGTTCTGTTTTTCAAATGCAGAATCTCTTAGTAAAGTTAAAAGAGCATTTACTGAATTGTCTAACCTTTTACATTGTTTTCCATTCAGGTAAGTATATTTAATTTTTTCATGGAGTGCTTCTATATACATATTTGTATTAATTCCAACATATTTCCTTGAATGATATTCCCATTTTTCAATTTTAAAAAAGTATTGAACAAAAGCTTTGGTATCTGAATTATTTAAAAATATATTCAGTCCAGAATAAAATTGGTCTTCATTTATTTCAGTATGTAAAACTTTTAAATTCTTGACATCAAGATTTCTTTTATCCTGACTACCTGTTATCTTGTTTCAATTTTCAAACAAATTTCTTCTCACATGCTATGTACAAAGAAATTGGTACTGAATTGGGCTCATATTTGACTGATGGACGGCTTAGAATTGTCTTCTCGTATGCCACAAGAATTTGAAATTTGCCATTAACGAATTCTTCTAATTATTTCCAATGAATTTACCGGAACTTCGAAATTTTTGTAACAACAAAAAAAATTACATGAAATGCGAAATTCACAACTGGCTTCTCTCATAGACTCAGGTAAAAAGGGCCTCCCGGGCCGCTGTTCTGGCTTTTAATAATGTTGGAGCTCCCAAAAAAACATCAAAATAAAAAAACATCAAGAAGCAAGACACCTTTGCGCACAAAATCTTCCATCTTTGACAGTCTGACAGTTGAATCGGTCCTGTGCCTGTGCTTTCACACTCCAGTATAACTGGTTAAACCTATTTAATGCTTCATTTGGATTACTCCCAAGACATGACTACGAGGTGCGCTCTATAATTATATAAAGTCATGTATTGATAACCTTTGTAAATTTTATTTTCTTAAATATTGATTTAAGTATATCTTATTTAAAAATTATCAAAAATATCTTAATTTAATTTAGGTCGTGTAGTTTATTATGTTTAAAAGTATTTCTTATTGAAATTCGACCGAAATTGTAACAATCGTGAAAATGATTGTTACAGGGTTGTACATTCATAGGAATGTACCCAAATATGATTCACAAACATATATATGCCGAAAACGTTTCTACACTATTAGAGTACAAGCAGTATGCACCAAAGAAAATATCGTTTATTCTGTATAAATCGGTATATTTTATATTTATATTTTTTAGAGGATATCAAGTCTCAAACTTATGTTTCTTATTTCAGTTACCATTAACCTATAATTTCAATGATAAAAATTCCTGAATAACCTACATGTATTGTAAGATAATAAAAATATTTTAAACAATATTAACTTCTCATTTATTCAATAAAAGAAAAAAAAATGTTTTCTTATCGGTCACCACGCTCAAAGTGTAACTTAAATTAATATCAAAGAAAAAACTTGAATTAATATCAAAGAAAAAAAAAATACTGCATAAATAAAATAAATAATTATAATTGCATAAGTTGATAAAAAAATGCTATGCAATAGCGTTACCGCGGCAGTCCCCGAGTGCCACACGTATTTTTTTTTGGTGGGTGTGTCCTGGTTATTGGCTCTTAAAAGGCAGCTTTTTACGTCTTAAATATCTTCATGTGAACAGAACTGGGCTGCTATTTTCTAACTCATACGTGAGTGACTTTCTCATACGGAATTTTGGTATTTTTTCATTTAACGTAAAAAACCGTATTTTGAAGGAATCGAAAAATATCCGTATACGAATTTTTTTACGGAAATACATCGCATGGTCAAAGGGGTGCAAATTAATGAATCCGAATACTAAATTCAACTTATGTGTAATAGAACCTTAAAGTCGGGAAGAAAATAAAATGGTTATTGGCTATTTTATTGTTATTAAGGTGATTACAGCACCCCCTTATAATTTTCGGACAAGGATATCTCAAAAAGTTATTTTTTTAAAGAATTAAAATTTTGGAAAAATATATTAGGCAATAATATCTAAAATATGCATATATTTTAAATTTTTAATTCCTCCCAGTTGCCGAGAAAAAAATCAAAGGGCTTTAAATTTTGAAATATAATGAAAATAAATGCATTCCTCAACAGCACTATTCTTAATATAATCCCTAAATTTAAGCTCTTAATCTCTTGTTAATGATTTTTTAAAATTCGCCGAAATTAGTGGTTAAAACGTCTCGTTAAGTGCTATTTTCTGGTGTAAACTGGTGTAAACTAGTGTAAATCGTTGCAAGAAACGAATGATGACTCATAGTGTCGGATATGATAGTTACAGACGCGTTACACCAGAAAACAGCACTTAACGAGGCGTTTTAGCCACTAATTTCGGCGAATTTTAAAAAATTAATTACAAGAGATTAAGAGCTTAAATTTGGGGATTATATTAAGAATACTGCTATTGAGGACAGCATTTATTTTCATTATGATATTTCAAAATTTAAAGCCCTTTGATTGTTTTTCTTGGAAACTGGAAATAATTAAAACTTTAAAATATAAGCATATTCTAGATATTATTGCCTAATTAATTTTCCCAAAATTTTAATTTAAAAAAATATTACTTTTTGAGATATGCCTGTCCTTAAAAGCGAACATGTTTAACAATATGATTAACTTAGCGGGTTTAGCAGCGTTGGAAGAAGCCGAAATATTAGCAAATAGACCTAGGAGAAGACGACTCCAACCATTAGGAAATCCTTTTGAGGAACTTGGCAACATTCAATTTATTAAGCACTATCGGTTAACAAAACAGTTAACACAGCACCTAATAACTTTGGTGGAGCCTTATATCGATGCTCCTGTAAAATCATATGGGTTAACTGTTTCTAGAAAGGTAATCATGGAGCTTCCATAAATTTAGAACATATTGCATCTAAATCTAGAATTTAAGGTTTTAGTGGCATTGCGCTTTTTTGCTACAGGTAATTACCAACTAGACATTGGCCAAAATTTAAATCATTGTGTAAGCCAAGCTTCTGTTAGCAAATGCGTCCGGGAAGTAACATAATGATTAAATATTCCAGATATATTTAATGAGTACATTAAACTACATAGAAATTTTAATAAATTAAGGGAGTATCGCAATCAGTATAGTAGAGTCAGCGTGATAGTTTATCTTGATGTTCGCTGTACATTGAAAGGTAAAAATGTATCGAGTTTGTTTCTCGATGCTATTTGGGGTGCACAACGACCCCCTAAATTCGTCTGTCGATATCGGTGTCCAACACACCCCCAGGGGGTAAAAACTGAAAAAACGAGGTATTTAGAACATTTAATTTGCTATCCGGCCGTAAAAAAGTTTTTCTGTTCCGTCATGTACTAAGCGAGTTATAACTAATTTTCTTCCAAAGTTTAACGTTAAATAAACGGAAGAATATTTACGAAAATCGCTTCTAGCTCCGTTATTATTCGTATTTCGTTTTCTGACAAAACTGAAAAATGTTTACACTGCAAAAACTTTTGAACAACACAAGATATTGAAAAAACTCGAAAAATAAATGTTGTAGTCTGTTATTTTTGCAAATCAACGGTTTTTGAAATTTTTAAATCGATCAATAAATAAGGACAATATTGCCAGTTTTCTCTTGGGATGTAAAAGATTCCGCCGCGAAGCGATGCTGTGCTTCTACTTTCGCCCGTTTTCCATCTCATTCTAACGGGCTCCTCCGTGCCCCACCATGACCCGCAAGCGTCTACTCTACTGACTGCAGCACGTACACAGTGCTCTATTATAATTTATTATAATAATATTGCTTTTGTAATTTAACAGGTATTTATGAATTACGATTAATTAGTACACTGGGTACAGTTTTTAGATGACCCATTTTACTTGATTAATAACTTGTGGAAAAACAGAATCATATAATGTTTTGGAATCGTGTATTACGTATTAGATTCTTACATAGTGGCAACTTAATGATTAATGTAAATAATTCAGTCATTTATATCCACATCGTCTTCTCCGTCGGAAGAATCTGAGCGGTATTCTGTAAATTCATTTAGGCAAGACCTTGATCCAGAACATTGGCATGTCGTGAGACATGGTAATTTATTATTTTTGCACTGACACCTAAGGCTTCTGCAGCCTGAAAAAAAAATAAAAATAAGAAAATAATCAGATTACGATATAAGTAAACAGTATTTACCCGTTTTACATGCACACAACGACATTTCTGCAGTCAAGATTGGTAGTGCCGGTTTTGTTGTAAATATAGGAGACATTTCTCCGTTTTCATTTGTTGTCCACCCATAATTATTATGATCAGGTATAGTCATAACTGGCTTTAAGGCACCTTTCCAAATTATCATCTGATAGACTGTTCTTAAGCAGTGTTGTCTGAGTGCGTCTGACGTAGGAGGCAATTTATCAATAGCAACCTTCGTGGACATTTTAGCTCTCAAACAGTCAATCGTATTGCATACTCCAGTTGATGCATTTGAATAGAGTAACATGACGAACTTCTGTAAGTCCTCAAATTTGTTTTCATCAAAAGGCTCGGAGCGTGTTGATGAAAGGAGATGATAATTGATCTCGTAAGTTTTCCACGCGGTCTTTTTTCCTATTCCTCTGAATTGGCTAGTTACATCGCACCCAGTTAAAGCGTGGAACAGCAGTAAGTTTCCTTTTATGTCTTCATGTAATTGGATAGATTTTATGTCTATTATCTTATTTACCGCTGTTTGCATGTACAAATTAATATTTAGTTCGTTGAAAAAGTGTACTAATAAAACTAGTACATCAGTGTCTTTGCAGGAAATAACACAATCTGTATAGCCTTCCTCTTTAGCTGACAAAATATGCAGTAGCATTCTGGTGTCCGCTTCCTCGTGATTCGAAGATATGAGTTCTGACGACTGAGGTAACAGTTCATTTACTGCATCAAAGCGAAGAAAGTCACGAAAACCTCCAGATGTTACTAGATGTAAGCCGTCGCGTCTAGCTCTTGTCATTGTATATGTCGACAAATAGTGAGTGAAATCCAATTTGTTTTCCCACGAATGAATAAAATTTTCCCATTTCACAGGTAGGGGCACATCGTCACCGTCAACTATTTTCCTAATTGGCCGATGTTGTCCTGCTCTTTTCTGTCTTGTGCCATTCTTCAAGGAATTTTGTTTGTATTGGTCGAAAACCAAATCTACACGTTTGTACTTCACAAAATATCTACTAACTATGTTGTAGAACAACGTTGCATACTCTCCGAATGTTTTTGTGTTCGTTGGTTTCCCGATGCCTTGAACAATGGACATTGCATCTATTATTACACAAGCCTTTTCTTTTTCAGGATGGTATTCGGTATATACCTTTCCATATCCTTGTAGAATTGCCCCTAGCGTACTTTTAGTTGTAGGTATAGATAATAGTCCGTTTGCAGATAAAGACATTGGATAATCTGTTAATTCATGCGAATATACTTCTTCTAATGAAATTTTTCTGCGCTTTGATACCGCCAACAGTCTTTGAATTAATTGCTGACCTTTCTTCATAGAATTCCATTTACCATGAGGCGTGATTTTTTGGGAGACATTTTTAGGAAATGACTTTATGCCTGATTTTTTTAAGGGCTTGTAAAAGTCTTCGCTGCCCATTTTTAACACAACATCATCAATAATGGCAAATCCATTTTCTTTGGCATTTAAAACTTGTTGCTTTAGATTATTTTCGACCACATCGTTTGTTGTAATACAAACAAGAGATGATGTGTCTCTTGAAAAAACTGTAAATCTACAGAACTGTTCTTTCAGGTAACAGACATCTGTTTCGTCCTTTGCTAAGCGCTTCGTTCCTAATTCAATATTTTTGTTTGAAGCACATGTTGAACTCTTATTAATAGAATAATTAAAATCCTCAACAAATTTTCCGATTATATTAAAACTTAAACACCATTCATCTCAACGTCCGTCATTCTTCGTTATTCCCACAATTCCTCCAGCTACTTTACTCACTCTGTTAACATGCTCTAAAGCTTGATCAATGGCTTTACGATTGAAGCTGTTAGCTGTAGTTTTCACAGAAAAGCACTTGTTTACATATTCATTAAATACGTCAGGAGCTAAGTTTTTCAGATTAATCATATCTAAGAAGTATACGGTGCCCCATCGTGTATAATTGTGATGATCATATATTGCGAACCAGGGAAGCATGTTGTAAAAGGCCGTCAAATATTCATTCCAATTTCCAGTCCTCTCAGCGTGTATGAATGTGAGAAGCGTATTAACCATATCTAAATACGACATCCAAAACTGGGCGGTTTCATTTTGAATGTGATTGAGAAAATCGGAAAATGATTGCATCTGTCTTATTTTATTTATCGCTCTTTGGGTAATTTCGGAAATTTCACTGGAATCTCTATCTTGGATGGTTGTTGACAATTCCGTGACCATGTCCATTAACTCCTGAAAATCAGCAGTGTCCTCATTAAAAGACGTCCTGAGCCAATCTGCATATTCATCCATCAGAATTCTCCATAAAGATTCGTAAACTAATTTATGGCATCTTATGGCTCTGTTCCACATTTTACCTTTCAGTATATTCTCACATGTTGTCTTGGAATACACACCTGATTCCACAATAATATCTGAAAACCCACTATCTTCCACCCTTTGACCGATAACTCTGACAAAATTTAGCATAATGTGGAAACCTCCTAATCTCAGAACGAATCTCTTGCATTCGTCCTGGTGCAACCACTGCAACTCCTTCGCTTTACAGTACAATGCTTGGTCAAACGTAATTACTGTATTTTCTATATTTAGATGTGAAGTAAGATCTCGACACCTAAGCATGACTGTCCACAAAGTATCGTATTCGGAAGCAACATATGGGAGAATAGGAAAATATCCTTTAAAGGTGGGAATGCCATCTGAATTGTCAGTTATTTTGTTAAACCCAGTCCACTGAGGTATGATTTGTGAATCACAGTTTTGATTTCTACTCAAAATCCACACTAAATTATTTGGGCTAATGCTGCATGCTTTCGACTTTTCGGCAGACACCTGAACATATTTTTCGTTTTGTTCGCAATGTGGCGAAGGTCTTTTGGTCTTAATGTATTGCGCATTTATCAAAGAATGGAAATTTTGATGAATAATAAGTCGCTTCGTCATCTTTACAGGTGGAATACTGAACGATGATTTGTTTTCTGGGCATTGCTGAAAAGCTACTATTTGAGTTGCGTGAAACGTATTGCGGCCGTCGATAGTTTCTTCTAATACATCTATATTGTCTGCCGCGAATTGTACGAAACGATTCCTGCTAGTTCTGTGGTACGAAAACGCTGGCGTTTGCAATATACTTGTCTATTTAATTTTGGGCTATTGTATTTCTGATGGCTAGAACGTCAGCATAACTAATGCTGTGTCCACAACGATGTAACATGTCCACAAGCTTTTTGGACCTGGTGGATTGATGTACACTTAGTCCTACCATTACTTGTTTTGGGTGCCTTTTCTTCTTGTAACTAAACATAATATCTTGAGCAATACTTAAAATTCTAACTTCTTTATCATCGTCTGCATAATCACACAGAAGCAAACCCAGCAAATTCAGTAGCGATAGTGGAACACTCTTTTTCATATTATCGATATTGGGAACTGTTAGAATGTCAGTGTCTTCCATTTCTCGAAGGTCCTTTTTAATTTCTGAGGCTACTAGGTGAAGTGCACTTAGAAATGTATCATTTTTCAGAACAGGTCGATATGTAAAGTCCGATTCCTTAAGCATTTCAACCTCGTTGTAAACATTATTTTGTAACTTTGGGTACATTAAAGTAGCTTCATTACTTTTATAAGATTTGACAAAATCGACGTCATCCTTAAAATAAATTTTAAGTTTCCTTAGAAAATACTGCGGATTCAAGCTACCACCCATTAGCGCATATCGGTCGTAAACTGCAGCGGAAGTATATACTTTTCCTCTGGATATGCCTTGCTTTATTTCCGCAACAATTTTTTGCCAGGTGTCACTCCCTTTATCGTTTTGACTTGCACAGTCATCCATAGAAGCTACTTTATTAGACTCAGATTTGCTACTATATTTTTTCCACTCTACCGCGAAACAATTACTATGGTATTTGACTTCAGCCGCAATTAAATCTAATGTGTTAATTTTTTTAAAAAGGTTATAATTAACGTTAGCTATGTCGTGAAGTTTCTTAGTGAAATTTGTTGTCAACACCTGGCTTACCCTTCTTTAGTTTTTGACAAAAAACACATAAATTGATATTAAAATTCGGCTTGTGGTATCGCAACTTATCGGCTTTCTGTCTGTCGTTCTTTTCGGTTACATCTTGATTTTCTATGCATTGACTACTTTGTGCTTTTAATTTCCTTGCCTTGGAAATGTTTTTAAGGCTTGTAAATGAGGAGTAACAGTTTCTATGCCACCATAACTTACACGAATTATTTATTTTATCACTAAGCGCTCTCAGGTCATTATTGTAAGTTTGCATATCAAGTCTCATTTTCACTGACCTTTTAATGGTTTCCATAGTTATTAGAGTAGATTCCTCCAGTCTCGCGCCTTTTTTGCATATTACACATTTTTTATATTCACGCGTTAATTGTTTTGTTTTTAACTTAAATTTATGTAATAGCTCATTGTCTGTTGTATCACTTGAAGAACACTCCATTTTGATGCTAAATTCACGAAAACAACACGAAAATAATTAATAACTAATTAATCATAAACAATGCCGGCACGCGCCGCCTCGTACGATACTATAGCTATAGAAGGTTTGTGGGCATGGGCCCGTCGTCAGAGTGATATGGGAAACGGGCAAAAGTAGAGACAGAGCGCGTCGCTTCGCGGCGGTGACTTGTACATCCCTAAAGAAAATTGGCAATATCTTCCTTATTTATTGTTCGATTTCAAAATTTCAAAAACCGCTGCTTTGAAAAAATAACAAACTACGACATTTATTTTTCGAGTTTTTTCGATATCTTGTGTCGTTCAAAAGGTTTTGCGGTGTAAACATTTTTCAGTTTTGTCAGAAAACGAAATACGAATAATAACAGAGCTACAAACGATTTTCGTAAATATTCTTCCGTTTATTTAACGTTAAACTTTGGAAGAAAATAAGTTATAACTCGCTTAGTACATGACGGAACAGAAAAAATTTTTTACGGCTAGATAGAAAATTAAATGTTCTAAATCCCTTGTTTTTTCAGTTTTTACCCCCTGGGGGTGTGTTGGACACCAATATCGCCAGACGAATTTAGGGGGTCGTTATACACCCCAAATAGCATCAAAAAATGCACTCGATATATTTTTACCTTTCATTGTACGGCGAACATGATTTCTAGACGAGTTTTTCAAGCGCGCGAACTCTACTAGTAAGCTCATACTTAGTTTGTATATTTTATACAAATAAATGATATGTATACAATATTTTAGCTTTTATATAAGACTTGGTTTCCTGGTATTGTCGGTTGTGTTGATTGCACGCATATTGCAATATATCCCCCTTGTACACAAAATGAGGTACATTATGTAAATATAAATGGATATCACTCCATTAATGTACAGTTGGTAAGTATTATATATTTTAATTTAGGTTTTGGCTACAATATATTTTTTTTAGATTTGTGAAGATTTAAAAATTGTAAACGTGTGTGCAAGATATCCTGGCAGTAGTCATGATTCATTTATATGGAACAACAGTAATGCCTTCAACTACATACAAAATTTGTATGAAAATAGAAACACATACAATTCGTAATTCAAAAAATTCAATTTCTCACCCATAAATTTAAAATCTTAAGAAACATCTTATATTTCAAAACATTAAAAATTGTATACACATCTTTGGTACAATCACATCTAACTTACGATATTTTAGCATGGGGAAGCGTAGGAAAGATTGTTTTAAGCAATTTGGAAATCGTGCAAAAAGAAATACTGCTTTCTGCATCGGTTTGAAGAGGTGTTCGCTTAATCCAAGTTCCTTGATGATCACTGGTAGATTCTTTGGGATAACTCCTGTTGATGACACAATGATCGGCAGCGTTCTAACTCTCTCCATTCTCCACTGTTGTCGAATTCTTTCTTGTAGATCTCGGTATTTGGCGATCTTTTCCGTGTGCTTGACCTACAAATTGTTGTTGTTGGGTATGGCGATGTCGATAAGCGTTGCTTCTTTGGCTCGTTTATCTACAAGAATAATGTCTGGTCTATTGTGAGTCGCTGTCTGGTCTGTAAGCACGGTGCGATCTTATAATTATCATTCTCTAAAACAGATTCAGGAGTATATTTATAGTAAGCTACTTTTTCGACATGCAGTAGCTTAAGTTTATCTGCTAGTTCTTGATGAATTATCTTCGCAGCTGCATCATGTCTGTTTTTATATTCTGTTGCTGCGAACATCTGGCACCCTCCTGTGATATGCTGGATGGTTTCAGTGGTTCGACAGCCGTATCGACATCCGTTATTGTGATATCTCTAACGATGTACTTTAGATAGTTTCTGGTAGGTATCACTTGATCTTGAATCGCTAGTAGGAAGCCTTCGGTCTCAGGAAACATTTGTCCTGAGACTAACCAATAGTTCGATGATAAATTGTCGACGTGTTCCTGGTTAGCTTCATTCGCATGTCTTCCATGTAAGGGCTTTTCCTTCCATATGTGTTGCTTTACAAGGTCGGTATGATGGTGACCTTGTATCTGATGTTCTCTTAAAAGTAGTGGTGTACAATTATCTGCGCTACAAACTGCCCTATGGACCTCTGAGGTGTTTGCTTTTCTTTATTTATTATTTTTTTTATTCTTTTTCTATTCTTTTTTTTATTCTTTTTTCATACTTTTTTTTTAATTACATTTCTAAGATATAAACTGTGACAAGTCTCCTGATTCACCTACAGTGCTTCAGCGAGTCTGTGGCGCTATGAATGTAATTCCCGAATAGGGGTTGCTCAGGCGCCAGTTTTGATATCGCAGTTTGCTCTGCGGCCCTGGGGTGCACGTAGAGTACACCCTCAGTAGACTCAGTGGAGTCCAGGTACAAATAAAAAAAAATAAAACGGATAGACCTTCGCTGTTAAGTTGACCTACACTGGGGTAGTAAAGTAAATAAAGTTTTTCACTACACTTTTACCTATTAATCACTACGCCCTGAAAACGGAAAAAGCAAAGGCGTAATTCAAAATTAAACTCAGGAATTTCAATCAAAAATATATTTACAAAATAAATGAAATAAATAATAATTAAAAATAAAATAAACGGGGTGAAATCGGTATATATTTATCTGTTTAATAACGGTAATAAAATAAATGTAGAATTATGTATGTTGATAAAATAAAAGGTCTCGGTATTTACAGAAAATGATAAAACGGTAAAATTAACTATGACCTATACTATACCCATAAGAAAATAAAAATAACAATGTTCCCTTTAAAAAAAATTAAAACGGTGGGCACTAACACCCTTAGCACAAATTCCTTGCTATTAATGAAAACGGCCGGCTTTAGCCATAAGAAAAAATCTACAATAATAAAACTAAATATGATTGAAACTATACGTTTTAAAAATAAAAAAAAATAATAAGCTACTCTCAGTAATAAAAAATATCGGTAATCGGCCAATGGTGGTGAACAGTATCACCCTCCACTCATGAGAGAAAAAAATGACGGATGCCTTTGTAAAAAAAACGACGCCTTATATCCTCCCCGCAATATTATTTTACTAGGCACAATAGACCAAATAACGGGTGTCTTAACGCGGTATTATTCGACCAATACTTTGAGAATTTTTATTTTATTTATTCGGTTTCAAGTTTCTCTTATGTGGAGATCTGGGAATCCATAGCTTCCACAGAACAGAAACGGCTGCGACTCTCGACAGGGATAGCAAGCGAATACCACTATCATCCCTTGGTTAACACGAAAATGGTTGAAGGGCACTAACGCCCCGGATTTAAATACAATTCGTTACCCTGACAGGCACTAAGAAATCAAAAATATCGGTCGAATAGCTCATGTAATTAATAGTACGGAAGTGAATGTTACAGGGAGAATTATTAGACGGAATTTTAAATAAAAAGGCCTACCTTAATTAACTTTTCAGCAAAATCGCTTTGCGGTATAATCGGCACTACAGCAAGGCAACTTTTATTCTCCAACTCACGGTAACAGCAGGAAAAGAGAAGAGAGCTCCTTCATCGCAAACCTTTAGTTTTATTAGAATTCGTACTTTTGCCGGAGTGGGGCGGTAGCCCCACCTAGAGGAAATAAATTGTTATTGAAAAAAAACGTTAATTGATCAACTTACTGATAAGCCTACTACTATTGCAATTTTACGAGACGATTTACATTATTGTGATATTGAAAAATTTTAAACTACGAGGGCTCTTGTAAAGATTTAAAAACGGTAATTCTATGGAAACATTAGTTACAGGGGGTCTTGAAAATGTTCATAGACGGAAATTAATTTTAGAAATTAATTTATGGAATAAATTAATGGGAATTTTAGTGACTTCGTCACATCACCTCCTTTCTTTCTAAAGAAAATAAAGATAAGACGCAGTATTATCTTTATTTTCTTACACTGGAACACGGACGGGTGACAAAAGTCAGTTATACAGTGATGTATCCGGTGGCATCTGGAGGCAGCTGGCGGCACCTGGACTCGGTATATAAAAAAAAACAAACGAACGGAAGATCAACCAAAAGTCAATCGTAGTGGCGGCGTTTGTACTGCAACGGTACGTTGTGACGGCGGATGGCATTTGCATCACGGAGACGGCGGGGAAATGGTAAGGTCGACGATTGGGATGGACGAGGGAGAAACGGGCGGGGCACGATGGGGACAAGGTCTGGTGCGTCGGGACAAGGGAATCAGACGGGGCAATTCTTCCATCTCTCGACTAGAACAATACAAGCCATTAATCGAGTCGTTTAAGACGTGTTTCTACGGGAGACGGGAATCAGGAATGGGAATGAAAGCAATAACGGAAACGGGAATGGTTACCTAAACGGATTTCAGGGTTGACGTCTTAATGGACACGGACGGTCGTTCCCTGGCTATGAGAAAAAAAACAAAACAAAACGCTTAATCAACGCGTTCCGATGCGGGTTTTAGGTCCTTGATATGAACTTTGTTGATTCGCTTACCGGCGGCATCCCTCAGGTTGTAAACTACGGGTAAAATTACTTTAGTGACGGTGTAGGGGCCGGAAAACTTAGGAGCGAGTTTCGCCGCTACATGATCGGCGGCGGAAGACAGGGTATGCTCTCGCTTCATAACTAGGTCACCAATGGTACACCTCCAATCCCTACGACGAAGGTTATAATATTTGCTCTGGGAGGTGAACGCTCGTGACAAACTGAGCCTTGCCAACTCATAACACTCCTGTAACTTAGCCAGCCTCTGGATCTGACCTTCGGGTATGGGCTGTTGATCAAGAGGATCCGGAGGCGGTACGGCCGGGTCGGCGTCTCGACGGAGGGTTTTGGGTACGGATAGTTCACGTCCAAAGTTAAGAAAGGCGGGGGAGTAATTGATCGACTCGTGACGGGACGTATTAATCGCAAAACGGAGATCGGAAAGATGTTGATCCCAATCACGGTGATTTTGTTCACAGAACTGGGCTATCATAGTTTTAATGGTCCTATTGGCCCTTTCCACGGGATTCGCTTGT